TGTTTCAAGTTGACATTTTAAGCTTAATACTATAGAAAAGCACTAAAAGTTTTTCAGTTAGAGTGTTTTCAGCTTGTTTATTTTCATATAAAAATACAGCATGCAGTTGCATCAAACAATGGTAAAAACATAATTCAATGTAAATTGTGATAATCGTACTAATTAATAATCGCTATTACAATTTCAAGGGAAGAATCGACAATTATGATTTTTGTCGTAATCGTGCAGCCCTAATTATGACTTATAAAAAAAATGTTGTATACACAGTGCAACACATGATCAAAGAACAGATGTCACAGGTTAACACAAGTATAGTTACAACAACTTTATTTGGCCACTGATATTTTTGAGGACATTATTGTCAGTCATTGCCAGAGGGACCAGTTTTGAACCTTCCATAAGAAGTAACTGAAGATTAACTTCAGTGACTGTTAGCTCAAATCATTCAGGTGATCTGGAATTTTGGTTTCACTTATATTTTATTTTATCTGGTAACATGAAAAAAAAAACATCTAATTAAAAACATAAATTACATTTTAGTGCATGACAATCACAACAAGAGATGGTGAATGTTGGACAGTGTTGAATATCATAATCAGCATAACTTTTGGATCCTCATACTCTGTGATTTTACTCTATTAAGCCATTTAAACACCGTTAAATTGCATGAAGATATGATGCATAAATGCTTTTCATCCAGCACAACAGTGAAACACATGATACAAGTACAGACATTTATTTCAATCTTGTGTGATGTCTTAAAAGGCTAATAATCTTATTAGTCTCAGTTAATTTATTAACAAAAAGTTGCGGTTTGATTGCAAGTTAACAAGACGTAAAAACAATCACATCAGGATAGTTTACAAACAAACGTATTTATCCATAGATACATTTCTACATGTTTATTTCAGATGTCACAGGCAGTGCTGTATTCAATAACGGATAACAACCAATAAAGTCCCAGTTTTAGCATCGCAAGATAGAAAGCTACCGCAACGAACTGAAATCGATATAGGATGCACGATAGATAAAGGGTTGCGTACACGAAGTGAATGACTGACATTCTCATTTAGTCATGAATGACTGCACAAAACGAACATACTAATAAAACTACAATAAGAAGGTAGCCTAAACAAATTTAGTTTAGACATAAGCTCATAGTTTAGACACAGGTCTGATACCTTTATGAAATAATCCACTAAACATTCTGAGATGGAGCGGAACTGAGATTCTCAGTTTCACGATCAGACGCGCATGTCTGGTAATATCTCATGAATATTCATGTATGCTCCGCCCACGGAAACCGAATATCTCAGAAACCAAAAATCTCGTAACACCCGGCGTGCTGTATGCATTTTATTGAGATGGAAACTTTTTATTGGTAAGAAATTGCACATTCAGGAGCTGGTTTTCAACCCCCGCCCCGTGAATTTTGAAAATACAACAGCTAAAAGCTACATATATTTCTCAGCAATGAGGTGATAACTTAGCAGTTTTTGTAATTAAACCGACAAACTTGTTTGCAATGCTTCACAATCGCTCGCTTGCACATGGGTGCATGCGTTAGTTCTGTCTCTCTCTCTCTCTCTCTCTCTCTCTCCTTAATTCGAATTAATTTCAATAAATATCATCTTTATTTCACTAAAGAATTCTACCGCTAACGAGCTGTTGATAAAATAGTCTAACAAATTAAAAGTACCGTTATTTTCCGGTCTTTATCCGTTCAGTCAGATTTTGTGCTGCAAAAAATCCATGACAGACGTTGTCCATGCTGGCAAATAATAATGGCCATTCGACGTGAATTATATAAATAATTTTAACGGCCATTTAAAACCAGAGGGTCTACCATGTGCATAGTAAAGCGATCACTGCAGACAATCCTTTTGGGTGGGAATTAATGAAACAGATATCGGATACCAGTCGTGTCTAAAGTGAATGTAAACAGACGTGTCAAAAGATTGGATCTGTGCATTAAGACTTGCAGTGTAAACGCAGCCTTAGAGGCTTTTGCATCTGAACTCTTCCTTTGCATCTCAAGTAACTGGGTCTTGATTTGAGAATGTTAAGATATTTATGCCATAAAACCATACAAAACTACTGAGCAAGTTATTCGTTTTTGCAATGCATGCAACATTTGATACCATGACTTAAGACGTTTAAGACCTTAATTTGTACAAGGCTGAATTAAGACTTTTTATGAACTTTTTAAGAATTGCAGAAACCCTGTTTTTGTGAATATTTGTATTTTGACCGTTTTATTTACCCAAAATGGACATGTCACAGCATTATGTCTATTTGGAATAATGAGTTTCAAAGAATGACACCGTCAAATCATTACTTTCTATTTGGTGATGAAAGATTAAACAAATACTGATTCAAATGATCAAATATATGTACATTGTGACATGGCTCAGAATATTGTGAAATTCCGACTGGGGTGTTTTGAAAGCATAGATATGATCTGTCATGAGACGCTGTCGTTCACAAGGTTTCAGTGTGAGGGTTAAAACAATCTAGTCATACTTGTTCTATGAATTTAGTTTGTGTTGCAACACAGAAAACGAGCTGCTAATTTAACAATGTAACATTTTGATGTAAAACTGGAATAAGTTTGTTTCACATTTGTCCATCGGCTTTGATGTCTGTATTTGTGTTTGCTGAGGTGACCGTATTAGATCAATTCTTATTCATTCATGCAATAAATACTAAAAGACCTTTATGTATTATGTCCCACATGCCATTTACCTTTTTTTTTTTAATGATACTTCAGCCTTCATCACGTGTTATTTATAAGGAATGTTGTCAAGCGAGAAGAGTGTGTTTTGGTTGTGAAATGAAAACCTGTTTTTTTCCTACCTCTACACTGGTTTTGGTCAAAAACAGCCGGAGCTTCAAAGAGACTGTGAGTAATCGTTATATAATAACCACAAAAATAAGGTAAGACAATGTAAGGAATTTCTTTTGCAAGATATTAAAATACAGAATTTTATTTAATATATAGTGTTCAAAAGTTTGGAGTTAGTTTGATTTAAAGAAATTGCAAGGATACATTAAGAATGTAGCCTTTAAAGAGACTTCTTTCAAAAACACGACAAATATCTTACCTTTGTCTTCCATAAAATAGTAAGGAGGTCAGTGGTGCCCCAAAAGTGTTTGGTTACAAACATTCTTCAAAATATCTTTCATTTTTGGATGAACTATTCCTTTAATGTCAGTAAAAATCTAAATTAATTTTGGCTTCAGAGCAACCATGGCGTTCAGACTCCAGGTCAATCTTGCAAACATGAGTGACGCAATGCAATGGGAGGCTCTGTAGTGCTCACTTCTGGCTTTATCTACGAATTTGGACATCGCTACCTATGTGGTTAATACTAGAGTTTATTGTCTACTGAGTTATGTATTTTACAGGGGCCAAATTCACAAACAATCATTTTCTTTCCAGTAGGAGTCATCCTAAGAGATGCTGGCAGACATAGCAGGCAGATAGTGTCTTATTTAACAACAGTGTATGTCATAGCTATATACTTCCAATTTAAAAGGGCACGCTCATAAAATATGACATCATCCTTAGTACTATCTACACCCCTTATTCTTACATGAAGTAAAACTTTTGTTTTATGAATAGGTTTCAAGTTGAAACTCCTTTCTAGGAACTCCTGAGAAATAATTCTTTGCGAAGTGATGGTTTCTGAGGGATTTTTAAAAGTCCTCAGAAGGACTTCTTAAACCCCGTTCACACCGCCAGCGACTGCTTCACTGCATGTCGCCAGTGGCTGGTGGTTGGATCGCTAGTGGGCATTTCTACTACTACTACTACTACTACTTGTCAGAACAACGAGTACCACCACATGAACACAGAGACATCTCATATATTATAGGGAAGCCGCTGACCGCTAAAATTAGCTTCTCCTTCATGTTTACCTCGACACTGACAGACATTAAAGAGTGGTGGATGATGTGGGCTCCACTGACTTCCCACCTATTGGATGCCACTCGAGAAAATCGCTTGTCGTTTGCACAAAGTTAAACTTTTCTCTCGTGACTCCTATCGCTAGACACTCCTACGTTCTGTTGCCAACGGTCACTGTCGCTCATGTTGCCAGCTTTCTTTTGAAATGAATGGGATCCTGTCGCTTTGTCGGTGCATGTCGCTGGCGGTGTGAATGGGGGATTTAAACTCTCCTGGGTTTAAGGGCTACTTTTAGCGTCAAAATGCTTCATGAATTAGTTAGATTGAAACACCCCTTGTTTTTAAGGGCAACTTTTAGCATTAAGATTTTTTGTCAAGTGTGCAAGTAAACTGTAAATGAAATGTCTTGGTAAGCTGAAAATTATTAATTACAGTGACAAATTACAGTTTAGTTGTGGAGAATTTTGTTTTATTTTTCATCTGAGTAGTGCAATCTTTATACTTTTGTGTTTCCCTATAGGTATTTGAGGAAAGGCACGGAGGATACTGGCACTGCATTGCAGGGCTTTCTTTTAGTTGGCGCCTAGGACAAGCAGACGCTCGTTATGTACACTTCACTCTTAACAATACGAATATTCTGCTCTTCAAGACTGGCAGAGAGACAGCAACTGTTCAACATATTGCAGTTATGCATTGTGAGAAGCAATTTCAACTTTTACAAAAAAAATTGTATTTAGTCAGTGTAATACAAGCTGAGATTACTCAAACAGCCAAGTAGATACCTATAAATGTAAAGCAGCTATTAGCTGTGGGAATATTAGCTTTTTAAGATTTTTAAAATCCTTCTATGAGCCTACTTTTAAAGTGGTTTTAAAATTAAGGATTAAAATATAATTGTTTATGGCATCACATGGTTTTAGTTTCAGTTCAAACTGTGTCAATGCTGCATATCATAAGATGCCTATTTTACAGATGTAGACAAAATAGAACATGTTTTACTGTGGGGTTAGAATTGCCTCTTTATTCCAAATAAATAAATTATGATCCACAAATAAATGTAAAGAGATTCACAAACATTAAACATGTTCACAAATAAATGGAATGAGATCTGTTAATGACTCCACATGTTCTTGCCTACATCTACATTACATTAGTTTTGGTCAAACACAGGATTGATTCAGACACCGTGAGTGAATCGTCATATAATCAACACCTAAATAAGGAAGTGTAAGGAATATTTTGTGATATATAATAATAATAATATGTAATGTAATATATATATATATATATATATATATATAT